GACCTACATCTTCATTCTGCTATCTCTGAGAAACTGTAATTAGTGATACAAGCTTGTTGCATTCAAACGCTTTCACAGATCATACCATTCATTTATGTAAGCTGCCTAATGAAGGCACGGGGCCTTGTTGATGCCTTCCAGAGAAGCTCAGTTATTTCCATCTCTTAGGCTGCACAACAATCAACTTCCTCATCTGTAGCTAATCTACATTATTTATCTATTTCCACTGTATTGTTGAACTTTTCTGTGTTTAGTGTCTCTGTCATCTTCTGGTTTCCCTGTAATATTTGCATCTAGTCATCATCTTCCTGATCTCTTATTCTTCACTTGCACTTTATTCATCTCCAACATTTTGTCCATCTGTCTAGTCTGTCTATAGGCAGTTTCACAAAACACTTCAATCCGGGACTGTGATGCCTTCTGGTCTTCTCCTTGTGATTTCAGAATGAACACCCCGCGTGCGCCGCTTTGCCGCTGAGTGAGGTAGTAACAGAGGCGAAATGGCTAATGCAAAAAAGTAAGCAGCAGTGCTGCGGCTCATTAATGTGATGAGCAGATAAAAACAGTTGCGGGATTAAACAACAGATTTATTACTGAGGGACTATTGATGGTGATGCACAACAGTTTTGAAGTTATTTTAAAAATATTTCACCACAAAGAGCTCGAGTGAGTTGATTCATTACGTTTTGTAATTGGCACGAGGCAGATGTTCGTCACACACTTAACATGTTGCGTTCCACTTCAGTGCAGCTGAGTTCTGCTCCACACCTCTTTTGGTTCTGCACTGCCTACTCCATTTCTGAAGGCTCACGTCTGTGGCCGGCTTCTTCTATGGTTTATGAACGACCAGAGGGAGGATAAGAATGGACTGTTCTGTGTGACCATTTCACGGAACAGTTTTATAAAAGAGCTTTGTCTTTCTGTAACAGAAACAAAAGTAATCTCAAAGTCATATATTCATCTGAAGCTTAGTCTTGAAACTTGAAACTAGTCCGCTGGGACGCTAGTCCTGTAGCTTCAGCTTCTGCGTTCTTGTTGATTAAATTCCATTATTTTTCTCTTTTTGTTGCAAAATATGGTAATGACAGACCAATTTTAACCTAAACTTAACACTCTTAGTTGGAAAACATGCTTTTAGGTTTACTGTTTGTGATATAAAGTATATTTGTTAAAGCATTTAATTAAGGAGGTCCACAGACTAAAAAGCCCATTGTTGACAGCAACATGAAAAGATCCTGAACCGCTTGAGTTGTCTTAGTTCAGTCTTTATTTTTCCACTTCACCAGTTTGCACATTAGCTAGTTTCTGCTTAGCAGCGTTAGCACACTTTCAAACAGATTTATTTGGACTCCCTTTTGATTTTTTTTACTTTGTTTATGGCTTCAACGAGTGTGAGGAACTTACTGTTCACCTTTACATTTACCTGAAGTGCTCATGAAACAGCAGGAAGGCCGCTAGTGTTAGCATGTTGTAGCTTATTGCAGCTAATATTTCCGTTAAAAGCTAACTGTAACATCAGCTGACACTTTCAAACCCACCAGCTTATCCTATCTGGCTCCCAAATTTATATTAATCTTTGAAAAAGGGGCTGTTCTTTAATTCAGCACCAAAGACAAAACTAGTTTATACGGTAAAGATTTAGCATCTGAAAAAAGCTCAAAGAAAATAGACTAATTTCACTAAATTATTACATAGGCAGTTTTGCACTTTGTTCATTTGGTGTCAAACAATATCAACACAAATTTATAGTTTTTTTTAAGATACTGTACATGTATTTCAATCACTGATTACAAAACTTATGCAGCGTTTTGTTTCAGTATAGTGTGTTCATGGCTTTTATTGCAAATGGAAAGTTGTTTTTTTTTCTCGCATCAGTATCAAACCTAAAAATAACTAAAACCACGTCAAGATTCACGAGAGTTGCTGTGAGTTTCACACAACGCTGTTTTCGTTGTTTCTCTCCGCCTTTGCTATCACTCATCTCAGCTCTCAGTGGAGTTACAGGAAACTGTCTGCGATGGGCTGCTTCCTGTTTTCAAGCACACCAGTGGTTCAGAAAACTCATCATGCTTCACGTGAGAAAACAAATTAGGACCGCTATGATGCAAACGTGCAGAACAGAGATTAAGCGGAATGAAATTGGGAGTCTTATCAGTGGAGGAAGGCTGAATTTGTTCTTTTTGGAGTGTTTCTGTTGGTGCTTTAAAAAATTTAACGATGTTAGTTTCACTTCCATCCATACCATCCATCCATTTTCTTTACCCGCTTATTCCATTTTGGGTCACGGGGGTCGCTGGTGCCCATGTCCAGCAATCACTGTGCGAGGTGCGGGGTACACCCTGGACGGGTCGCAAGTCCATCACAGGGCCACATAGAGACAAACGAGACAAACAACCATTCACTCTCTCACTCACACCTAGGGACAATTTAGAGTTACCAATCAGCCTAACATGCATGTTTTTGGTCTGTGGGAGGAAACCGGAGTACCCGGAGAAAACCCACGCATGCACAGAGATAACATGCAAACTCCACCCACAAAGGCCCCTGGACCGGGGTTTGAACCAAGGACCTGCTCACTGAGAGGCAGCAGCTCTACCAGCTGTGCCACCGTGCTGCCCTAAGTTTCACTTATGTAGAAAAATAAATGTTTAGATTTATCCAGGTGTTTTTTTTTTTTTTCCTGTTGCTGGATAATGTATGGTTTTTAGTTTTGTCTTGCCAATTTATTCAGTACACATCAGTGGCATCAGTGTTGTTGGGGTGTATTTAGACTCCTTATATGTGATCTATGCTGCAGGCCAACTGAAGTGACCACTCAGATCAGTTGATCACCTAATCCAGAAGAATATGGATATTTTTATCTTCAAAAGCAGCAACTCAAATAAACTGCAGCCCGAATGAAACGTTCATTTCTTCTGCTTGATGTCTGCCCTGTTAAAGACAGATGACAGTGTTTATGTTTCCGTTAGATAATATATGTTTAGCAGCTGGCGATGATACACTTTTTACACTAATTTTTCATGCACAAGTGGAGATATAGATGGATTGCAGCTATCATTCATTTTCTTCCTGCTACTGAAGGAAGAGAAAGTGTGAGCGATGAATGCAACTGCACTCTGCCTTGTAAATGTGTGTTGTTTGTTTTTTTATGTGCTTTGCTTCTGTCGAATCTTTGAAATTGAGTGTGCTCATTAGTGTTTTTCATTCAATTTAGGGCTGATTTCAGAAGCCGAAGCACTTCAGCAGCCTGACGAGTTTTAAATAAGCACACAGCCTATTAGCTGAGTTATAAGTCAGTGTTTCAAAATGTTAATCGATGACTTGTTTTGTTTTTGAGCGGGTAAAAATGAAAGACATCCTGCTTATCTTTCACTCTCTGCAAATAAATTGAAAGGGGCTTGTCCACACCCTCGATCTGTCTCCATCACACCCTAAGGCACAAGGGATTATTATGATATTTGTAGAGCTCTCATCTCGAAACAAAAGAGACGATTGATTCTGTGATTTGTGATGACCAGGCTCCCTTCCATTCAACTGAGGAATAACTTATCATCTCCTCCTACTCATGCTCATCCAGATTCTTCAGATGAAACACAGCTCTGCTCTTTTTTTTTTTATCTCTCTCTTTATCCCTGTTATCTCTTGTAGCCTTTCATGTCCCTCATGTTTCTTTCATGTCGTGGCTTCTCGCTTGTCATCTCATATAAAAGACACAAGTGCTCTTGGAGTTCATATAAAGTCCTTTTTGAATGAAATCAGAGTCATGTCAACGAGTACTGAAGCTGACCAAGTTCTGATCAGCGATGGTAGATTTTCACTAACTTAATCTTAATCTGATGAAAGGTGAATGCAAGGACTTCCCACATACTGTTGAAGAGCAATAATAAGAAAACACAAACATCTCCATAACTGTTAGTTTTACAGATACTGAGATAAAATTTGATGTGGTTTTAGATTTATGAGTCCTTCCCAACTCATACTCCTCGGAGCTTGAGTTGACATCCCAGTGGTTCCCAACCCTGGTCCCTGAGGAACGCCATCCTTCATGTTTCAGTTGTTTCCTGCTCCATCACGTCTGATTCACTGATTTAATCACTTCCTCAAGTTCTGCAGAAGCCTGTTAATCACCCATTCAATTTAAATTAGGCGAGTCAAATCAGGGCAACAAGTAAAACATGCAGGACGGCGTTCCTCAAGGACCAGGGTTGGGAACCACTGCATTAGAGTACCCATTACGATATTTTCAAGATTTGACCAAAATGACTACAACTGTATTATTACTCGAACTCTGACATTAAATGCAACAGGCAGGTGTTTAATTGTGTGTTTTTAAAGAAACTAAAGTGCTTGTTGTGACCTTGATGAATATATTGGTGCATTTTCAATGACACTGCGTGGAACTGAATCTACGCTAATCAATCGATCCTGCTTATCCTACCTGAAAACTGACCTCACTTGGCTCTTTCATTAAGTTGCATCGGGACAATTGAATACTTTTTTTGCCTACAACACTACATGCTTGTGTCTGTTGGCGCAAGGCTTTTTGCGGGAGCGACATCTAATTGGTCGATAAATCAAATGGAAAGCCGTGATGTTGTGCTCAGATAAACTGATTGAGTCTGCCTGCATTGTCGTGGACGGGGCAGGATTAGAATGCTGCAGGCTGCTGCCTCTGTCTAGTCAGGTATGATTAATGGTGTAGTGGTGAAGGGCAAGGGCAACCAAAAGGCTTTTAAGCGTGGCATCAGAAAAAAACAAAAAAACATTAATAGATTGGGAAGAGAAGGCTGTGCCATGGAAGGCTATATAATCTGTATGGTTATATAAACGCATGGACTTTAATCCTTTAAGGTCCAATATGGACTAGAAAAATGTTTGTCATGCTAGAAGTGGTAGTCTTCAAAAAACATTAGTCTGTCTCTGTGTCTTTTCTCATTACTTTTTTTTATATAATAAACTAATTTCACTCTCTTCCTCACTCTTCTGTCCTTCACGTTCAGGATGGCTCACGGGCCAGTCGGGAAAAAAAGAAGACCGTGTCCTTCAGCAGCAGTCTGTCTGAGAAGAAGATCAGCAGTGTTGCCGGATGCATCCACTCCATGGTAGGTCTGATACTTTGAATGAAAAATTAATGTGTATGCGCTTTTGTTCATTTTAAGACGCACGACATTCATAGTCGTAGCAAAGAACTGTTTGGACTGCAGTGAATCACGTCAGCTGCACTCTGCACACCAATTACAAACAGCGACTGGTTAATCAGATGGGCCCTCATTGCCCTTGATGCCCAAATCAGATTTAAACGACAGTAGACAAGATGATGAAATCACAAAGTGCTGTGAACATTGTAACAACAGAAGAGAAGGAGTAAAGTTATGAAAATGTCTATTTATCAGAATTGATACTGTGATTTTAAACATAATGTACAACCCCAATGCTGAGAAAGACTGTTATGTAAAACATTGTTATATAATGCACAATGAACTGATTTGCAAGTCTTGTAAACCCATATTCTTTCACAATGGAAACAAATCAACTTGAATTTGTTTTTAGGAGGCAAAAAAAATTGTTTTAAGGAAGAAACACATCCTGGATAAACTGAGACCCGCCCATGTTTATCACTGTGAAGCATCCCCTCTTTGTTTAACCATGGTCTGTGGGAACTGAGGAGACGGCTCTCGGTTCTTTGAAGGGGACTGTGGTCCTGTTCTAGACTGTTGCAGGATTTTAGCTGTTCAGTAATCCTGGGTCTCCTGTGTTACATTTTATAGTTCCTGATGCATCAAATGTTTTCAGTTGGTGAAAGATCTGGACTGCAGGCAGGACAGTCCTGCATCTGGCCTGTTCTTCGTGCTGTTGTAAGGTTCAAAGTTCAATGTTCTTTATTGTCATTTGCATCGCGTGGTACATGAGGTGGAACGAAATTGTGTATTCAAGGTCCCAGTTACACCCAAAAATATAAAGTATACAAAAATAAACAGTATACAAGGATCTAAGATATACGCTAAACAATAATAATGTAATATAATATGATATATTAACAGAGTCAGAGAGATTTATTTGTCATTCGCATCTCATGTGGTGGAAAGAGTTTATGTACGCAGGGTCCCAGTTACATCCAACAATAAAATGTAAAAGAAAAACAATGATAACATCTAAGATATGAACTAAGAAAAACATCAACTAAAAACACTCTAAGCACTAATAGCATAAAAACATTACATCGAACAGCAGCACGAACATGAGTCTGTGTGAGCAGATGAGCACGAATGAACACATCAACATGAAACAGATCAGCAGCAACATGAAACAGATCAGCAGCAACATGATGTGATTTTTCACAGTGATTAACCTGGTTAAATATTCACGAGTCTAACAGCCTCAAGGTAGAAGCTGTTCCTCAGTCTATTGGTTCTACACTTAATGTTCCTCAACCTCCTTCCTGAGGGGAGTGGGGCAAAAAGTGCATGTGCTGGGTGAGTGGGGTCCTTCATGATGCAGGTGGCCCTCTTCCTGTATCTGGAGGTGTAGATGTATGTGATGGTGGGGAGACTGACTCCAACATCTTCTGTGCAGCCTTCACCACTCTCTGCAAAGCTTTTCTTTCTGCAGCTGTGCAGCCTCCATGCCACACGTTGATGCTCGAGCACAGGATGCTCTCCACTGCACACAGCAAACAGCAGCCTGAACATGAGTCTTTTGTGAGCAGATGGGTATGAATACAGCAGCACAAATAAAGTGACATATCAGTGACAGAAGATCTAGCTTGTTGTCAAAGAGCGGATGTTGGCCAGGAACAGAAATGGAATCGGTGATCGGTTAGCGTTAGCCTTTAGTCTCGCTAATATTCTGCCTTGTCTTCCTCTTTTCTGTCCTCACGCGCACAGCTTCCTTTTCCCGTTAGTGCGCTGGTCTCTCCACGCTGATGTTGCTGATGTCCGTAATAGCTGCAATCTGCCGAGTGTAGCTCTCAGGTTGTGGTCCATCGCTGCTTTTTTTGAAGCCAAACCTTCTCTTATGATAATAAGTTTGGTTCGGCTATAATTCACCTGCTTAAAGCAAGCTAAGTCGGGCTCAGATCTGATGTCAGAGCAAAAAAACTGGGATTTTCCTTGGGAGCTTGAGAAGCTGCCGCTCATCTGTGCACCGCCATCTTGTTGGTAATGGATGCAGTGTCAGATTTAGCACTGTATTTCTGAAATGTACTAGGCCTTTCCTAATAAAGCATAGTCCAGATGAAGTGCATGCTGTCTAAACATAGTGCATGTTGTTTATATTCTCTTATTTTTTTATCTTGTCTGATTCCTTGTGTATGTTCCTTTGTAATGAAACTCCGGCACAACAATTTCCTGCAGGATTAATAAAGTACCCATGCCAGTGGCACTAATGCACACCCATACCAACAAAGAGGCAGTGCTTTTGCACTGTGCACTAACAGGCTGGATGGTCCCTCTCTTTTTTTTAGTATGGAGCATGTGGCGTCCCAGGTTTCCTAAAATTGTTTCAAATTTAGATTTGTTTGACCACAGAATAGTTTTCCATTTTGCCTCAGTCCATTTTACATTAACTTTGATCCAGTGAAGACAAGAAGAATTCACAACTTCATATTTGCATGATAGAGCTTTAACTGACATTTATGAATGGCACAGCACATTGTGTTTACAGACCAGGATGTGTGGAGGTGTTCCTGAGCGCCTGCAGAACCAGCCTTGTTTTTAAGGCAGCGCCGCCTGAGGGCCCAGTGATAGACATATGATACTGACTCAACCCTGCACACAGATTTCTCCTGCAGCTTAAAACTAACTAATATTATGAACTGTTGCTACTGGGCATTGAAAGTGTTTTCAGTTTTTATAGAGAAACATTTTGTGATATTTTAGAAGCAAGTTTTTGCAAACTGGTGAACCTCTGCCCATTTACATTTCTGAGAGATTCGGCTTCTCAAAATGTTCTTTTTATATCCTTTCCTGCTACTGACCTGTTTTGAGTTAACCTAATTTGTTGCTAAACGCTCCTTCGGCTGTTTATTATTCATACCACTTACAGACACCTTTTGGTGCCACTGCCCCAAATTTGTTGAGATGTGTTGCTGCCACAAAATTCAAAATTACCATAATTTATTTTTTTTCAAAAATGTTACGCTTTTGTGGCTTCAGCATTTGATATGTGAATAAAAATGGGTTTATGTGATTTGCAAATCATTATATTCTGTTATTTACATTGCATACAATGCTCCAACTTCTTCAGATTTGTGATTTTAAGTAATTGCAAGTTTTCCAAATATTGTGCTGCTCCAGTACCAAACACGTGTCAAAGATTTCTGGTGTAGAAAAGAACTTCAGACTTGTCTAAAGTTCATCAAAGCTGATTACTGATATGAGATCCAGTGAGAGCTGTGGGTGACAGCTTCATCTTCATCTTGTTCGCAGGTTGAGGGGAGCGAACTGAAGAAAATCCGACCCAGTACCCGTGTTTACCAGCGATACTACCTTCTGGATGCGGGCCTCCAGGCTCTGTACTGGGAGCCGTCTAAAAAAGAGTCAGACAAAGCTCGCATCTTTCTCGACTCCATACGAGAGGTCAGTGTGAACAAAAAACAAGTTCAAAACCACCGACTGGATTTTTACTTTGCTTCATGAATGACCTCAGAGTCCTTTGAAGCTCTTTGTAGACGTTTAAAACACTGAACCACATGGAAGAGGACAGTTAATTTTGTTTTATTGTATCTGATGTGGTGTTTTAATGCATCTCTTGCGGTCACAAATTGTAGGTACGGACAGGTCGTAACACAGAAACTTTCCGCACCAGTGGAGTTTATGAGCAAATATCAGAGGACTGTGCATTCTCCATCATATACGGAGACATTTATGAAAGCTTGGACCTGGTGGCCAACTCTGCTGAAGTGGCTAACATTTGGGTGACTGGGCTGAGGTACAGCAACACAAACACCCTGGAGAAGTTTTGTACTGTACGCTTGCAAGTTAAATTATTAAATAAATCCATTCCACTTATCTTTTTTTATGCAAATGGCATAATAATGCACTATACATCAAAATATAATCTATATCAGTATTATTTAGGCCTGTATTTTATGATTTTTATTTTATTTTTTGGTACATCCTCAGTTCTGAAAAAGTTGGAATGTTGATTAAAATGTAAATAACAGCAGAATTCACAAACCTCCAAAAATTTGTATTTTATTTACAATGAAATATAGTAAACATAAATTGTTTTAACAAAACAAGTACAATTTTAAAAGCGAGAATAAGGTAATTTTGAATCTTATGGCAGCAACATATCACAAAAAATGTTGAGACTGTTCCATCTTTACTGCTGAAGCGTTCCCTGGCAGTGTTTTCAGACTGCTGAACCTCTGCCCGTCTTTACTTCTAAGAAATTCAGCCTTTCTAAAATTATTTTTGTACCCACTTTTCTTACTGACCTGTTGCCAGTTAGCATCATTTGTTGATAATACTGTTCCAGCTGTTTCTTATTCATAATAATTTTACATGTTTTGTTGCCCTGTCTTGTCTTATTTTTAGATGTGTTGCTGCCATAAAAATAAAATTACCATATTTTTTTATAATAAAAAAAAACACTTAGTCTTAGTTTCAAATTTTTATATGTTTACTACTGTGAATAAAGTGTTTATGAGATTTACAAATAGTTTTTATTTACGTTTTACCCAACGCCTCAACTTGTTTTTAGAACGGGGGATGTACATAAGAACACACATTCTGAAAATGCATTTGCCAAAATATGAAATTTTCATTTTAATTACCGGTAGCCTTATTGTAATTACCAATTCAGAAAACAAAGCATCAAGAAATACAACATTTCAGCACGTTAACATTAAAAAAACATGGATTGTTTTTACTAATTGACACAGTTTCCTGAGGTCTTAATGAAATGCTCACTTGCTTTAATCAAACTGCACCAGAGAAAGGCTAACACTAACACAACATGCCTTACCCCTCCTTATTTTTATGTGCTACATTCCACTTTCAAGAGGGTTCTGCTCTTTATTTTTATTTTTGTCTAACAAAGGATTTCAATTGCACTGCAACATTTTTTCCATTTTAGTTTCGTTTGATCATTTTTGTCACTGTGTATTTGACTAAATTCTGATTATTTATAGTAAAATGTCCTCCAGTCACATCCATCCTTCTCTTGTTTGCTTTAGGTATCTTATGCAGTATGGAAAACATGCTCTCGACTTGCTCGCCAACAGTCAGGACAGTCTTCGCCTTCGCTGGCTGGAACAGCTGTTCTCCTCTGCTGCTGAGTCGGACAGCCCAGAAGACGTCGAAGAAGGGATTCCCTTGCTGTCCGCGGTTAAGCTGGTTCAAACTGTGAATCTTGGGGTGAGCGCCGGCAAGGTGGAGCACAGATTTAAAGAGCTCCAGAGAGTCAGGGAGAAGATGTGTGAGCTCACAGTGGAAAATGGTTCGGGATTTAAAGACCACAGCCCAAACAAAAAGCGAGCAGCAAGAGACAAGCGAGTCACCAAGAAGGAGTTCATGGAGGTCTTCCATGACTTTTGCACCCGCCCTGAGATCTACTTTCTGTTGGTGCAGTTCTCTAGCAACAAAGAGTACCTGGATGCCAAAGACCTGATGAGGTTCATTGAGGCTGAGCAGGGCGTTGCTCAAGTGGGTAACACAAAAAACTCACACATACATTCAGACAAGTCAAGGATACCATAGTCTTAAACATTAGCATTTAATGTGTATCTACAAATAGTGCAGCCAAACTTGACTGAAATTCTTTCATTTCAGGACATTTACAGTTTTTGTTTTCCAGGTGAGTGAAGAAACAAGCCTGAAGGTCATTCAGTCCCACGAGCCATCTGAGGAGGGACGACAGCTGGGACACCTGTCTTTGGATGGCTTCACCAGTTACCTCACGTCAGCAGAGTGTCACCTGTTTGATCGAGAGCATGATAACGTCTGCCAAGACATGTCCCAGCCTTTGTCTCACTACTACATCAACTCCTCCCACAACACCTACCTCATCGAGGACCAGTTTCGAGGCCCCTCAGATGTTTCTGGCTACATTCGTGCTCTTAAGATGGGTTGCAGATGTGTGGAGTTGGACATCTGGGATGGCGCTGATGAGGAACCAATAGTGTGCACTGGGCATTCCATTTCTCCACCACTGGCCTTGCGTTTCGTTTTAGAAGCGATTGGAAAGTTTGCATTTGTGGCGTCAGAGTATCCATTAATTCTGTGTATTGAAAACCACTGCACACTGCAACAGCAGAAGGTTTTGTTGCAACAGCTCACAAGGATATTGGGGGAGTGGCTGTACACAGGTCTACCAGATGAAGGGGCCACTTACCTACGATCACCACATGACCTGAGGCATCAAATACTGATAAAGGGTAAAAAACTTGGGCCAGATTCTGATGGGGAGGCTGGGGAGGTGAGTGAAGAAGATGAAGGAGCTGAAATGTGTCAGAAGGTGAAAGCAGCGACCAATGGGAGTGGAGCATCTAGTGGAATTGAGAAGGACGTTGTGCAAAAAAGTGTCTGTGTCACGACTCATTTTCCTCCCAAACGCGTCCAGCTGTTGAGGGAACTCTCTGATTTGATAACTTTTTGCCATTCCGTTAATTTTATAGACTTTAAAACATCATCTAAATCCCAGAAACCTTGGGAAATGTGTTCCTTTCACGAATCTTTGGCTGTGCGTCTTGCAAGCGAAAGCCCTGGTGACTTCGTCAACCACAACAAGCATTTCCTGTCACGAGTTTACCCCAACCCTATGCGCATTGACTCAAGCAATATGAACCCCCAGGACTTGTGGAAGTGCGGATGCCAGATTGTGTCAATGAATTTTCAAACTGCAGGACTAATGATGGACCTGAACACAGCCTGGTTCCGGCAGAATGGGAACTGTGGATATGTTCTGCGTCCGGCCATCATGCGGCAGGAGGTGTCTTATTTCAGTGCCGACACCAAAGACACAGTACCCGGCGTGTCTCCACAGCTGCTCCACGTGAAGGTAGAAGATGCTATTTGTTTTCTAGACATTAGCAATTACTTGGATGAAATAAATGCACCTATAACAGTTTTTTTTGTTCAGGTAATTAGTGGCCAAAATCTACCCAAACCCAAAGGCTCTGGGGCCAAAGGGGACGTGGTGGACCCTTATGTGTATGTGGAGATCCATGGCATCCCAGCTGACTGCGCAGAGCACCGCACCAGAACTGTGACCCATAATGGAGACAACCCCATCTTTGATGAGAGCTTTGAGTTCCAGATCAACTTGCCTGAGCTAGCAATGGTTCGTTTTGTCGTGCTGGATGATGACTTCATTGGGGATGAATTCATAGGTCAGTTGATCAAGACTGTTACTGTAAATGTAACACATCATATGAAAATTATTTTCACACATGCATGATGTTATTGTCCATAAGAATAGGCAGATAAAATTGGTCCAGACCTTTTTTTTGTGTGTGTTTCATCACATTTTGTTCAGAAATAAAGACTGTCTTCAGAAGATTTGCTCATAAATGGATAAATTCACATCTTTTGGAAATGGTGTTGTCTGGAAAGGCTCTACAGGAGTAAAATAGGATGTCTCTACCACTGCAGGTCAGTATACTATACCACTGGAGTGCCTCCAACCTGGCTACCGGCATGTACCCCTCCAGTGCCTCACAGGGGAGGACCTTCCACATGCTAAGCTGTTCGTCCACGTGGCCCTCACAAATCGGAGAGGAGGCGGGAAGCCTCACAAGAGAGGTCTCTCAGTACGAAAGGCTCGGAGGGGGAGGGAGTACACAGCTCTGAGAGACCTGGGGGTTCGGTCTGTCGATGAGGTTTTCAAGATGGCCGCTCCATTTTTGAGAGAAGCCACTGATTTGAGAGGTAACATGCAGGTGAGGAAGAGGTACCTTGGGCATTTAGCTTTTTACCAACCATGTGTTTCAAAATGGAATCCTGATAACGGACATTATCTACCACAAATAATCTTCTGGAAGGTTTGGCAGGTGTATATTTCTTTCCTGCTTGTCTGCTAACAGTTTATCAGTGAAGTGGCCTTGTCATGGTGCAACAGTTATATCAGTATAGAGTTCTGAGTACTTGTTTAACTAAATTCCAATGAGATTTTAGATAACATTTATCATCATTTTTAGTCTTCAACTCAGCCTCTCACCTATAACTTCTAGAAACCACAAAGTTTTAACACTAAGAAACTCTCTCCCCAGACAAGTGCATATGCAGACGCTTTAAATACTTTTCCATTTTTGCCAGAATGGTTGACACCACAAGTAGAGGTGACAGCAAAACAAGTTACTCTAGCATAGGAAGTAAGTAGTACAAGTTCATGCTTCAAATAAAGATATGTAGAGGTTATATGGGATAAGTGTCGTGAAGTTTGAACCACTGAAAAGTTAGGAGCCTAGTGGCTCCCAAGGAGGTAGATTTGTCTGTATCTCCAAAAACCTAGCTGCATCACATTGCAGAGGTGTGTTTACCATTAAAGGTAGGCTCCTTGTACCTGCAGCCACAAGAGGGGTGGTCTACCAGGGGTCTCATAAATATCTAAACACCACATTTTATTTCTTTGTGTTTGAAAGGCAGGAAACCTTCCAAAAATACTGTTTAAAATGCATCCTCCCACTCCCTGTTAGAACAATGAATGGTTCCATAGTCTTACTGCACATGTAGATGTAAACAAACGGACGTTTGCTACCCTGGCCGTTTCAAAAAAGGCAGAAAAGAGGAAGAAAGGGGACAATTTTAGTCAAAGCTACCCAAGCTAAAATACTTTTGGTTCAACTGACAACGTGAAATATAATGAGGAGCAACAAAAACATACTGATTGCAGGAGTACTCATGTTAGCATGCTAATGCTAACACAAGTGCTGAAGTGCAAAACTGGCTATGTATCGATCGATGAAGCATAATCAAAAACTAGAAGTCCAGTTACCTTTGATTAAACTTGATATAATGTGCTGTGAACTTGGACAAGTGAGAATTTTTAGCAGCAAATACATTTTTAATTATAATTAACCTAGCAGGTAAGACTTACATGTACAAAGTAGTTGACAATAGTAAACTACAAGTAGGTCTTAGATGAATAATGACAAGGTATGGATGTGAGGGGCCCCAGTGTTTTGCCATGGGCCCCAAAATGACTAAATCCACCTCTGTCACTGTGCATCATTTAATATTGTGAGATGGCAACATTTGTCCAGCTGTTATTTGAGACAGAATGTTGAAATGTTGCAAAATGGACAGAGAAACATGATTATTAAAATATGTGACCATTAAATAGGAATATTTTTGTGACTTGTACCATCTATTTTTTATATCTAAACCTAAATGCATATTTATTTATTTATGCAAATGAGAGTTAATGATGAGATAAAACCAGCAAGAGGGACAGAAAAATATCAGCTTGGTAATTTATAAATATTCAATATATTCAATGTCAAACTGTTGAGCTGAAAATCAAAATGGCGCTCTCATGTTGATGCTGCATGTTTTTAGAGCTTATACTTTGTACAAAACACGAAACTCTTGTAAAATATGTAGGAATCAATACAATCCTGTTTTCTAAATTGTCCAGCCAAGTTGATGTTTACTTCAGTGCAAACAACAGAGAAACTGTTGTTTTCCCAGCGCTAATCTGCAGGAGCCCAGCACCAGTTTAGTGTTGGCGTTATTTATGACAGTCAAACTTTGATTACCGTCACCATAGCATGAAAGGCTACTTCTTTATGTCGATTTCTTCCAAACTGCAGCATAGCAGCAGGAAAACAAGTGACATCTGAAAAAAGAGACAAACTGCTCCGCTGCTGCTTGTTTGGATTATTTGTGTGTGAAAAGAGGGAAAGACTTGTCGTGACAAAGAAGAGAAAAGATTGCTTGACTCCTCTTTTCTTTTTGGGTGTGATACATTTTAGTGTTTGTTCCTATCAATTGAAAACAGGGAACAGGTGTGTAATGGTGTTTAAATCAACGTTCTTTTTGGAACAGAACTCGGTAGCAGTGTTCAGGGAGCTGTGTGGGGTGTCAGCTGTGGCCAACCTCATGCAGTGTGTGCTGGCTCTGAGCTCCAGTGTGTCGGGCCCAGAAGGGACGCCTTTACTGCTCTTTGACCTAAGGGACAACTACCCCGCTCTAGAGCCCCAGGGACCCTTACCAGATGTCCTTCGCCGAGTTGTCTCCACTTATGAAATGGTAAGAAAAGATGACATTGTGGCGTGTTTAAAAACCTGAAATTCATCAGAAGAAAAGGCACAGTAGAAACAATAAATCATTTGTTTCCATTCTCCTGATTGGACACCCCTCCCCAGCAAAAATGGCTTTTTAGCCAATTTGCTCTGAAGCGCAAAGCGAGCTCTCATTGTTATGTAGCAGACAACAGCCCAGTTCATTTCGATCTCGTAAACCCATCATCAACATCCTCATCTTGGCCCAGAGCCAGTCTGGGTTTCCACTCAAATAAACAACAGACTCCCATTGACCACAGACAAAGTTATTTAACAGACTTGATTTATGTAACGATCTCTAAAAATAAACCCCGACACCAAAAGACAAAAACTCCTCTGTGGAACTAAAACAAAGGCAAACAGAGCAGCAGAGACTAGAAGCAGCCAGTTGGTAATTACAGCCGCTGTTCAGTCAGTCAATAAAACAGAATAAATCAGTTCCATCCAGTTATGGCTGCTCAGCTCAGAGTTTAGCCCTAAATCTTTGTTTTATTTATGTTTTATCTCGCCTTGAATACATTCAGTTTAATGTCACTTGCCCTTACGGAGATAGTTCAGATCTTTTGAAGTATGGTTCTGTGGAAATGTTGTGAACTATTAATATCTTACCTGTTGTACATAGCTCTTTGATTGTCTGGATTCACAAACTAACAGCCAGTCTAAATGAAGCCAAAACCAAAGTGAATTGCTCTTATCTTAAAACAACTCCAGTCTCAAAAGTTTTGTAGTTGTTCATGCAAATGAACCAGGTTGGATCGGAAACACCACGACTCGCTGCTGCTGCAGCTATTTTCACGCAGGTAACCCAGGTATTCTTTGAGAACTGACATCAAGAAGAAAGCTTTTAAAATAACATCTGCTCTAAAATCTTTGAAACTGGAGTTAGCAGCAATCCAGTTTGGTCTTGGCCACGCTAACGTGAGTTGTTAGCTCGTCAGTCTGGTGAGAATTAATGTTGCGTTCCATTACCTCACTGGTTGAAACTCCTGACGTGGGAATGGCGTCAGGCTAACGCTTATTAGCACTACAAGCTAACAACATTATTTGTAGTCATGTATTAAATCACTGCAGCTCCATGCTTTCTAACTGAAGTGTTACAGTATCACCCGAGTGATTTATCTAATGAGATGCAAACTGTTAAAAGTGACAGTAGAAGTAGTTTTCACCTCTTTTCATGAGAGCGCTGGCCATTTTGGAATTTGGAGATGGGGTTGATTTGACATTCAGAGTATATATATATATATATATATATATATATATTTCTCTAATCTGAGACAGTTCAAACAGCTATCTAAAACAGGTAATAACTGTCCATAACCTCACCACAGAAATAATCTTCAAAAGATCTCTACTATTCCTTTATTTCTCAATGATCCCTTCCAGTTTCTGCCATCATTTTCTCACTGTAGCACAAGCTGATGTGCACGTTGCACTGCCCTATAAGTCGCATCAGTCCAAAAATGTCTATTAAAGTGGAAAAATCCATAAATATGTCACTTTGCCATATATGTCGTGTTTATTATGCTTCACCGCTGACAAACTGGAAATGTGGGCCGGTGTTGTGGCAAAAAGTGATTGGCTGCCAAATGATGGCCGTGGGAGCGTGCACAGGAGGACTTTTACAAGAATTTATCAAGATTAACACTTAAAAACAATTATTCGTTTGCTCGACTTTATAGTAAAGGTGTGTCTCAGTTGAACTTGTACTTAATGAATGCACTTCAGTGGTCAAATTAGCTGCATTTCACCGAGGCGGTGCAGCGAAATGAAGCTGATTTGACTGTCGCTCCAGGCAGACGACGATGTCCTCTATGGCAAGCCGATTGTGTCATTAATAGTCACTTTTATCTCTTACATGATACAACGGCATGCCATACAACTCGAGTGCCATCTATCTGCTGAAAACGGTGGTGTTCAATACCAACAAAGTCCATGCTCAATAATCTAAGTATGCAATCCAACAATTTTCAGTCAGGTCATCTGGACAGTTTCAGTACCAAAAAAAAACCAACAAAAAAAACTGTCCAGATGACCTGACTGAAAATTGTTGGGTAGTTTTCAATATTTTCAGTCAGAAGGAATGAAAACGTTCATATCTCAGCCAAAAATTGGTTTATAGATATGAGAAAAAAATCCATGAATATGTCGCTTCAGTGTATAAGTCACAGGGCATGCAAATTATGCAACTGTTTCAGCTGTTTGAGCATGGACTTTGTTGTTTCAGCTTACAGTACAGGTAAAGATCACCGTGCCTTATTTATTCATTTTTTTCGAGATTAATTTCTTAGACCGGTTGATAAATATCAGCATAAATTGCTAATTCACCGATCACTTTTCATAAGAGTCTATGTGACGAAATGCATTGCAAATGCTTTTCCATGCAGTCTCATTTCTAGTCATTTTGAGTAAGGGTTTGGCGCCTAATCTGTGACACATTAACTTACCCGCAGCTGTTTATCACCGCTACACATCGCCCATTTGTGACTGCACACTGGTGCACCGTGCGTCTGAGTAAGAATGTGCATGTGGGCTTGTGTGTCTCTTGCCACTTCCGTTCCAGCTGAGCAGCTCAGAGTTGGAAAAAGCTCACCCGGGTGCTGAATACCATTAGCATAGATTTGAATGCTGTTTAGCTAAATGAACTCCTTACCCCACTCCTGACAGGGAATGTGTGTACACTTGTCTGGTTGAACTGGATGTAGTTATTGTTGATCCTTTATTTGTTGCAAAGCCCCCTTTTAATGTTTTTAGCCCCAGAGGGTTCAAGTCCCTGCATAATTTTTGAGAGGAAGTGCATTCTTTCTTATCCTCTGTGTATTTTGTGTCTATTTCTTAAAATTTGTTACAGTAGTATTTTTGTGGGTTCTGTTTTCACCTTCTTTTTTTTTTTTTTTTACAACCAGCACAAGTGGAACATATTCAGTGTTTTGTGTCAGCATGGACAATAACACATTTATTTTTACTGAGTGTGATTTTTTTTTACAGCAATAAAAGAAAAACTTTTGCACATGTTAATAAAAGTGTGCATCATAAAGTTATCAAACTAATAATCCAAGATGTCTGTGTCTGTACATTATGCTTGTTGTGCTAACGGAGGCCCTGTTTTGTCTCAGATGGTCAGTGCAAGCAGAGCTGTGGTGGAGCTCTCCGACGGAATCTATGACAAGATCCTGCATATTCAGACACTGGGTGAGTAGGTGTGTGTGTGTGTGTGTGAGAGATGCAGCTTTGTAAAGCATTTATAATGATGTTCATGATGAACCTAAAACATCCCAGTTCTTTGTTGTAGCTCCCACGCAGCCTTTTCAACACTTTTATACATTTTCCTTTCACTGCCTTTCTTCCCCTCCGTCTCTCAGATTTGACTTGCTGATATAAAATCTGTGGCTTTTTCCAGAACATTATTCACTTCCTCAGGAACACTTGGGGTCATCTGATATTAATGAACCAGGCTTTTGTCGTAGTGGCGAGAACCAAAAACTCACACATTGCTCATATTATGTTTCTGGGTTCTTTTCAGGCCTTGGCAGCCACCCAGGAGACCGTGTTTGACATTTAGAAGTATTAGCCAGTGGCTTGTTGCAAAACCGTCCTCATACGTCAGCCTGTAGCTGCTGAGACTTGCAGATACAGATTAACTTTAATATTTTGGAGATAAAAGAGCAGAGATGAAGCAAAGTTAACTTGAGACGAACATGCTGTTGCTAAAACCTTTCTGCTTTTCGACAGCTCCTTGCATTTTCTCCTTTGTCTTTAATTTCACTTACAAGACTGCAGAGTAGGCCACGTTGCCACCTGAACCTCCACCCCCACCCCCCAAGCACTCGACCTGGTCCTTACACATTCATCCGATTAAGGAGCCTACAGCTTGAGCTCACAAAAGCTCTTCCTGTGTGTGCAGAGTAAAGATGGTGATCAGGTGATCTTAAGGTTCGTGCTCCGGTTTGGAAGAAGGTGTAGGCAGCAAGACGGCATCAGTGGAGCCCCTGGAGGGAAGCAGGAGGTGGATGTCTGGAAGTTAAATCAGAACAGAAAGAGGAAACAGAGAGAGGGGAGAAGACGGGCGCGGGAGGATTAATGACAGAGGTGGAAAGTTACTGACAAGACGAAAGACGCCCAGAGATGAGAGAGTCTCGAGATGAAGATGTGCACAACTTTTTATTGAAGGTGCTGATGCTGAAGAGAAGCAGGGTAGAAGTTTAGATAAGTTTAGTTGGGAAGAGATGGCTATTTATATACACACACGCTAGAATGAAGGGTTTAATTTCTGTTCCTTTTCAAGTTCAAGTTTCTTTATTGTCATTCACATGTGGTACATGAGGTGGAACGAAATTACGTACTCAAGGTCCCAGTTACACCTAAAAATAGCAAAAACTATAAAAAGAAACGATCTATAAGGATCTAAGATTTACGCTAAACATTTTCTACTGAAATTAAGCTAAATGTTTTTTTTCCTCTGTATGTCAGGATGCATATTTCTGATTTACTGGATCAGTGTTGCTTCAATTTTTTTGAATAAAAAAAAACCACTCTACAAGAGATTAAATCAAACGTCAAATGAGTCGTTGAAATGTTCCCAGCCTCTCACACGCTCGCAGGATGTGTGACGTCAGCCCCGAAACGTTTTATTGCAAAAACAAAATCTCACTGGAAGTGGGAGGTGCTCGTAAAATTTACATATTAAAAAAAAAAGTACTCCGATTCACAATATAAAATGAACAAAGATGAGACATTTGATTAGAGCATAGTGGGGTTCTATGGTTAGGTTATGAACTGCTAATATCTTACCTGCTTTGGATGTATGATACGGTCTTTTACAAAAAAAATCTAAATCCAAAAATACCATAATATTTCCGTCAGAATAACAACTTCATGTGAAACTAATAGCAACATAAAAGGTTTATAAAACAGTATTTGTATAGATAGTTATAAAATGTTTTGGATTTATTGTTTTCAGACATTAACTTTGGTCTTGTCCTCACTCACTCCAGTCAATCAGATCAAAGTTAAACGCTATTTTCCCAAACCAGGGTCGTTCAAAAGTACCCGTTTCATCTGTTCTACCCCTCCGGGTGCTGCGCTAACACTCGATAAGCAAGTGAAACTAAATTGTACCGTCTTTAGACACCCATCACCTCTGTCTCAGTGTGTCAGACAGCTGTTTCAGTCTGAGCCGTGAGCAGGAAGGGAAGATGATGCAACGTGCGCCGCATCCTGATGTTCCGACCCTGAAGGTTATCGTGACGTCCGGGTCAGGATGCTGTCAGTTTGTGAGCGTGTGTGTTTGTATGCACCCCCCCCCCCACCACCACCACCTCCCCCACCTCCGCAGTAGCTCGGAGATATTGTTCTCTCCAATGGCTTTGCTTCCCAGTCAGTGAAAAAGAAACAAACGCACACACTACACTGACACAGAGGCTTTGTGTTGCCTAGCAACCATGTGGTAAAGGTTATTATTAAGTCAACTTATGTAGGTGTGTGTGTGTGTGTGTGTGTGTGTGTGTGTGTGTGTGAGCGGCTGTGCAGCCATGTTGGTGACAGAGAAGCATCATGGCTGATAAATTAAACCAGTTTGTTTATTCCTCCGTGTGTGTGTGTGTGTGTGTGTGTGTGTGTGTGTGTGTGTGTGTGTG